GTAGAGTTTGTTTGCATAGATAACAGTGTCCTGACTGTTATAGAAGTCTTGTAAAAATCTACTTAGTCTTCACAGAGCATAGCCTTGGGCATATTGGTTTTTATATTTTACTATTTTAGCACCTTGTTAAACTAGACGGTGGATGGCAGAACGATACGGGCACTGAATTAACTTCTAACATTTTTTTATCTATTTGTGAAAGTCTCACACCAATATACAGGCTGAAAAGCAGTGCACACAGGAGCATTTATAAGGAACACAATATGAAAGCAGCAAGGACTTGCAAACATGGGCACATCTTGGCTTATTGGTTATTGACAATGAATTTCAGATAACACAACAGTCTGTACAATGGTGAGGTCTGGAGGTATGTTATCACCAGTGCGCTAAGCAGTTTATCAGGATAGGAAAATTTGTCTAAAAAGTCACCGATGATTACGATACCGTCTGGAAGCGAATTCTGAGCACAGCTTCATGTCGGGGCGAGGCCAGCGTTGTTTGAAGCTCTGGCTTTCTACAAGGTATGATACCGTCTGAAGCGAATTCTGAGCACAGCTTCATGTCGGGGCGAGGTCAGCGTTGTTTGAAGCTCTGGCTTTCTACAAGGTATGATACCGTCTGAAGCGAATTCTGAGCACAGCTTCATGTCGGGGCGAGGCCAGCGTTGTTTGAAGCTCTGGCTTTCTACAAGGTATCAACTAAGCCAAGCTCAATGATTTTAGTGGAATAGGGTACACTCGCTACGAACATTATTTGTGTTCCTGCGGATAAGCAAGGTACCCGCTACACATTGATAAGGTATTTTGCGCACTTTGTTGATGCTTCAGCATGTGGCTGATGACAATGATAAATTATGGCTGAGTACTTTGCAGTGGCTGGGAAACGTTAAACCACACACTCGTGCTGTTAGCATTGTGTGATGACTGGTTGTTACTTTACTTCTTTTGCCACGCTATATTACATTGGTTAACGCGATTCGTTGCCTGACTTGACACCTGTATAAGTTTTTTTTGGCAAACCAGTTTCAAGCGCCAAGGTGACTCTGTCAATTCAATCCTAGGCTTTTTTATTTCTATTGCTCATGCCACTGGTGGCAACGATGGCGGCACCACTGAACGCAGAAACGCGTGCCTAAACGCTGCGCTCTAATTAACACCTTGAAACATAGCGTACACTTCATGGGGCAAGCTAGGCATACAACTATGCTGCTGACCGCTTCTAATGATGAAGTGGACAGCATTCTGCTGTCCGCTTCGTCATTATTTAATGCTATCTCCCACATGTTACAGTATTATTCACTGCTCGAGGATGTTTGCTGTGAACATATGTGGGAAATATCCCAACCAAAAGCCAGTATGCGCTTGTAAATGATATCCCTCTCAGCAGTCTTTAGATGAAATGAATGTTTATAAACTTGGAACTGTAATATTTACGATTGGACTTCTGTGGGCTACATGCGAAAGGCAAAATTAAGGGAAGAGGAGGTTTGGATCATATGCGCTAAAAGTTTTTAAAGGGCATTAAAGGAGAATGTTGGAACACTACATGGCTGAAACCCAAATTTCACAAATAGCAGCTCATTAATATTCCTGGCAAGGAAACGGTGTACAATAGGTTCGTTTTATTGGCACTAGGCTGTGGGGCAAAAGCTTGGAATATTACGAAGATGCTTTAAAGGGGTACTGACACAAAAACTTTGGCCTCGGGTTTTTCTGCTGCAATGTGTTGCTGGGGGCCTGTTAGTTATGACACGACACATCATTGGCTGCAGCACACGACAGGTAATCAATTACAGGCCCCTCATTATCAATCAGTTTTAGTTTCGGTTTGAGAGAGTTAAAAAAATTGGGTGCAACTGTCGCCACTTAGCGTGCACAGCTCCTGACTACGTCAGCACACAGAACTGTGATGCACTTCGAAATAGGAAACGAGACTGGAATGTTACCAAACACAAAACTATTTAAGCATGCGCCATGGCCACGCATTCACAAACAGCCGCCGAGAAATTTAGACTTTGGGAACTAACCCAGCAAAAGAAAAGTGGTGGCTATGCCATCATCATGACTTGATTTGTTGACTGCAGCGTGGTGACGCGAGGGATGTAGGGGGTCCCCTCGGGGGTTTTGAGGGTGTCTATAGCGCTATGGAATCGACCGCTCACGCAAACTTCAAAATTAATTCAAAATACCTTCCGAGCTATATTTGCTGTTGATATCTTGCGGATGATATACCAATGTTCACGAGAACCTACCCCGCAGGCTATTTCGTCCCCGAAATTTTGTGTCAGTACCCCTTTAAGAGAAAGTGACAATAGCAGAATCTATGGAACAGAAAGTGACAGGGGTGCCATTTGTACACAGGAAACTTTGTAGTCTGGGTTGAAGAACAAGCGGGAAGTAGCTGATATTAACGTGGTAGTGCTAAAGAGCTCATTTCGCAGAAATTATGGAGTCGGTGTCATTGGTTGTGAGCGAAAAATTATCATCTTATGTGTGATCGATAAATCGAGAACGTTGCAAATAAAATAAATAATTAAAAGGTCCTGGGCCAGAGGGGTGACCAAACCTAGGTCTTTTTGGTTTGAGGGGGAATCAAACCGGGGTCGTTTGCATGGCAAGCGGATGTTCTACCACACAGCCACACGGGTGCTTGTGAATACAGTCAAAATTACTTCCTCTGCTTGGAAATGCAGTAAAAGTTACTTTCGTGCTTTCAAGACACGCATGCTGTATACATGCTTCCCAACACAGTGTTAAATATTGCAGTAATAATGCTTGGTACAAGCATACATTGCCATTAGGCAGCAGAACATATGATTATCATAATGACTTCATGGTTTAAACTGGTGACTCACTACAAAAGGCACACAGGTTACTGTGCCTATTTTCTTAAGGTCACGTAGTGGGGGCATAGCAAGTTCGAAAGGATTTCATGCACTAAATCTTTTAAGTATGCACTAGAGACAGGATGTCCCCATCGCGTTCAACTCTTTAAGGCAAAGCTTAGAGTTCCGTGGTTTTTAAATTAAGAGATAGAAGTAGTGATAAGAAAGGTGTCATATTCACTGCTCAGAGCAGGTGATTGGTTAGAATAGGATAGAGAGATTGCTGCATACTCTTTACATACAAATTCTTAACATACACTACATACTCTTAACCAAATTAGGCAAACTGAACTTTCGTCATTCGTTTTTTGCCTGTTGAGTGTAATGTATTACAATGTGATGAACCTTTTGCGCAGAACTACTAAACGTATTATGCACGGTGGTAAAAAAAATGCAGAAAGTCGGCACAAACTAGCATCTGTTTGGTTATATGTCGACATGTATATGCCACGCTCATCACTTCATGAAGCAATTGCTAGTTTGCTTTGACGCTTTGTCTTTTTATCGCCATGCACAGCACGTTATGCATTTGTGCACAAAGGTGATAAAGTTTCACCAATTAGCCCACTTTCGGGTTTTTTGCGGTGTGCCATGTGCAGCCAACATAGAAAAGTGTTGAAAATTAAGATGCTGCAGCCCAATAAGAAGAGAACAAGCATTCTGAAACATTATTCCAAAGCATAGTCACAAGTGCAAAGTTCGATGGCTGTAACGCACATGATTTTATGATGACAGATATGGTTGTTATGCATGGCTCCCCATATGCATTATCTGGGTAGCTTACATGCCTGGGTGAGATCTCGTCTGAATTTTAAATCACGGAGGCGCTTACTTACAGTCGGCTATCGCTGCCAACATACTTTGTTTCTGCTGTTGATTTTCTAGTTTCCCTAACCTTCACATTGCCGTAAAAACAAGCTCTGTGGACTAAAGGTTATTGTGGCTATGATTGAAGTGACTTCAACCGAGCAAACGGCAGCTGCTTTTCTTTTTCTTGCGATGCACCTGCGTGCTGACGTCACCTTGCTCGTGTTTACAAACACGAACAGTGTATTTGCTGATGACTCACATGTTGGCAGAGTTACGTTTCTCCAAAGTAAGGTTTAATAGAAAAACATGTGAAGAAGATTTTCCTGTCCAGAAGCTTCTTTCTAAGTGGTTGAACTTAGACCTTTTCCGTCATGGACTGAAAGGAAATATTGCCGATGTTGGCACTTAGCAAAGTATTTAGCCTGGGCAAGTAATTCGATACCTGAAGATCGGATGCGTGACATGGACAGCAAAGAGTTAGGTGAGGTGATTAAATTAAGCAATTTACAGGCTTAAAAGGAAGTCAGTGTTCCGAGGCCTAGGCATATCACAAGTAGCAGGGGGAACATTCGGGGCCAAATTTTCTTTTTGTAGGGCTGGAAATTTCTCTCGCAGGTTAATGTGGATTTACACATAGCGGACTTGTTTGGGATTTCTCCGCAGCTCACATTCACACGACGGCGGGGACGGATCGGCCCTGCTCTTGCTCCCAGGAGTGTAGGTGACGGCACAGACGGCCGCGGCAGCTCGTCCATTTTCGGCGATAGCCGCATACTGCGCGCACAGTCCAGATTAAAGTAGCGTCGCCTTCGTATTGCGCGCTCTTCACAGCAAAAACGACTTAGATTGGATTGGAAAGAACGGTGGTTGCCAGCTTTTAGATTGGATTGGAAAGAACGGTGGTTGCCAGCTGAAAGCGTTTTGTCGCTAGGAGTTTTGTTTGTTTTGCCAAAAATCCCGTGTGACCCCAACTGCGATTTGGGTTTCCACCATTTCACGAATCGCTCCTCGCAGAACGCAGGAGGAGGGCAGGAACGGGGGACTTATGGTGACGTTGCACGCGATCCCTGGGATTGAATCGAGATTTGGTCGGTCATGTGAATCCAGCAATTATGTCATTACCTAAAATTTAGACTACAGCATTTTTTATGTTATACTGCAAGAGGGACACTTCAGTGTTTATTGTTTATTTGTGTAGTATCAAAAGACTAATAAAAGTGTGGAAGGACAGACAGCAGAACTGCAGAAGATTGTTGAACGGATCTGAGGTTCACAAGAAGTGTTTACCTTGGTGCCTCGATTACAGGGACTCAAGGCAGCTGTGTGACGCGCACATCTACCTGCGGTACCGGTCATCGTCGCGCAAGCTCGCTATCATCTCCTCATCGTTCGTGCACAATCATCAAAGCCAGGCCGGCAATGGCTGTTTCCATCGCAAGCAGTCTGTCACTGAGCGCATTGGCAAGCCTGTGAGTCCATCTGTCCAATTTGTTTGTTGAATGTCCAAGGGATTTCATCACGAAGTTGTGAGAGACGCGTGGATGAAAGCGATAGCCTATAAATTTATATAGTTGATGCAAAGCTCTGGGGCAGGCTGTAGGTTTTCTGCTAAGCTCAAGAAATAGCAGGCCCGACGTAAAACACAAATGCTGTTCGAGTCTTGTACATAGGTATGTAATGACTGCGATGCAATTTCTTTCGGGCCCATATTCGCAAGTGCCCTAGTACCACCGACAATCGGGCAAGTTGGTATGAATGGGTGGACTTGGAACATCACAACAAAGCATATGAAAAGACAAATGATCTCAGAAAAACAAGTGCCGACTCACAACTTAAGTTTATTCAATAGCGCAGAGCAGATATATACAAAACACGTAGCGACACACAATGCAAAAAAAAAAAAAAGACCAGGCAAGCTATTCAGTGCCACAGGATAAAGATATCGTGTACCTGCATGGATAACTTGTTTTGGCTTTTGTTTGTTCTTTTTACGTAGTATGTAGTCACATGTTTGAATATATCTGTTCTGTGCTATTGAATAAAATTTAGTTGTGAGTCAATGCGTGTGTTCGTGTGAACATGTGTCTTTTTGTTTGCTTTGTTGTGATGTTCCAAGTCCATGCACCCTAATGTCTTTGATGAAGGTGCTAAAAAGTAATTGCTGATAGTGATTACAACTTATAACTTGCAACATTCTGCAGCGAGACGGTCGGCGCAAGTTCGTCCGCGCTGGTGACCGCATGGGCAAGCTCACACGCCCCATCCTGCCTGCGCCGTCCTTCGAGCACCTGGTCAAGAGCTCAAATGAACTCACCATCATTCCACTGGGCGCCGGGGGTCTCGGGGGCCACCCTGACCTGCCGCCGCCCCTCATGCTGCACAATCACCACGCGGAGGACCACGCCCTGTGCTCCCAGACCCATCCAGCCCTGATGTCGCCCGCGCAGCTGCTGCTTCCGCCGGGGCTCCGCTCGCCTGACAGCAACCTCATGCTGTTTCCCCGGGGACCGATGAAGATGGACGTGCCGGTCGTGGACGGCTTCTGTCGTGACGTCAAGCGCCTCCGCGAAGACGCAACCGGCATGGTGAGCTCTCGCTTCATTTGCAGAGTGGTTGGAAGAGGCGAACATTAGTATGTAAACTGAATAAGCTCGTGCTCATTTATGGCTGACCTGTACTGCAGATGAAAAGCGATAGATGTAAAGGGATGAACAATCCACGTGACATTGTATGAACAAAGAAAATGTAGTTAGAAAAACAAAAGGACTTGCTCCTGCGAAATTTAGCGTCATTTACTATATACCGTTTAAGTGGTACAGAACCTATTTTGGCTAAAGAGAACCTACAAGCCACATGAAAATAACGAAATTTGTTCCCAATGTTTTCAAGTACGATGTGTTGCTTCATCGTCAAACTCAGGCCATGTTGTTTCTTCAAGAGTCTTGTCTCGTATGCCCCCGTGGTTTCACACTGTGCTTTTGATTTTAGGCGGTGCACCTACTCGCCCAGTAGCGCATTCTATTCAATTCAGCTTTGGTGTTGCTCACCCATTTTCTTGCATTCCATGACGTGATCCACTGTGTAGTTGGTTGGTTTGCTTTTGGAGCCGACGAGCTCCTGGCGTTGTGGCAATTTTTCGTGGTTTTATTCCTGACTCTTCTTGACCCTTTTACTTGGATATTGTACTGTGTTCTAGTTTTTCTTTAGTTTGTGAGCCTGTGTACTACAATAAGCTTGTCCATCTCTCATGTAAGATGCATTTGTAGATAGGCTTAATTGTAGGCTAACTTATGATTAAATTTTTTTAATGAGTCTTGTTTCATGATAAGTCTGGGGTTATTACTCTGTAGACACCACTCTGTAAGTGATGTAGATCCCGTATTGTGAAATTGTGAGCACACGCCTGTTATGCTAGTGGCTAGCTTTGCGAAAGCTGTATCTTAGAAAGCAGAAAGTTTTATCGCTAGTATGTGCGTCTCATATTTTCAGGTTTTAAGCATCATGTCTAAAAAGGCCCTGTAAATTTTTAGAGAGATTAGAGACGCTTGTTAATCCTTGCAAATGTTTTCCGAGAAATTCTCTTCAGCGTACTGTGCCCGGTGTCTGCAACGACCCTTCCTCTCGGACATGGGGCTCAGAGCACATGTGGTCATTCATATTGGCATGCACAAAACCCCTGAAGCTTTAAAGATCAGTGTGCTGAGGTGTGTAATCTTCGAGGCCATACTATTGGACATCGTTGTCCTCCACCAGGTGGCACCATCAACCTGTCACCCGGGACATTGACATGGTTGTAAGAGCTGGTAACCAACAACAGACAGTGTTTAGTATTGTATGAGAAAGGGTAGTTCTAATTTGAACAAATGGTGATTTTTTTCGTGAAATAATAATGTTCCTGGGAATATTTTGTTTGGAATTTAGCCCTTTGTGGTAGCTTATGTGTTGTCTTTGGTATGACTGGACATATTTTTCTCCCACTTACAGTTTAGAAAAATGTAAAAGGTATTACTAACCCTAAAACTTGCTTTTGAGAGCTACTGCGTCTCTCGGGATGCTTCCAGCTAAAGAATCACATCATTTCACCCCCTCCCTCCTTAAAGCTATCATGCTTAGGGGATCTCAGTGAGCTTTCAAAACATCACAAATTGGCACGCATGTATAGTAAAATTTATTCTTCAGCATGTCTAAATGTTAGCTCTAAAGTTTCACTTCGTTTCTTCAAAGATGTAATCGTTTTTTAATGCCAGCTCTGTAAATCTCTGTACACACAGGGGACACACAAGGAGAACTTTCATGTGCAAGAGAAGTCTGGTGAAATCAGTGTCTGTTTCAGAATCCCGCCGTACGGCTACAAGGTTGGTCTGGCTTCACATTGTAAAATTTTAGAACCCTCGTATAGGTGAAGTCAGTGATTTAAACCTCATTGGCTGAGAGTTGTACGGTCTACAGTCATTAATTTGACCCTTGTTGGACCTACAGAGCTGGTCAAACGAAATCTTTACTGAATGGCATCTGGAATTACTGATTTTTCTTGGTGGTTTGCGAAATAAGCATACTAAAACAAACTCAAGAAACAGGTTTCTAGTATTACTAGAAATACTGAAAGTTCATAATGCACTAGAGAAAGTTGGCTTCTCTGCAAGATTTACATTGTTTATTTATTTTATTTTTTTAACCATACTGTCAATGTCATCAGAGATTATGGGCATATGAAAGCGAATATTTGTTTACAACAATTTTACAGAAAATCTGAAAGCTAACATGCTAAGATTGAACGTACAAAACATTTCACAGCAGTGCATTGCATATCGAATCTTTAAATAAGACGAAGTTGAAACTAGCAAACCTTAGCTTCACAGAATAGAAATTTATTTACGTTACCTACGCTATCGTCACTCTTGGACACGACTTTTCTGCTGCCTGCACACAACCGCAGCATGACATTTTCTCTACGTTGGTACATTGCATGTTTATTTATCTGCATTTGAGTAACCCCATTTTACTCATATGGGTTGAGTGGCCACACCAGAGAACCTGCGATGCTGCATTTAGCTAGGTCTAACTGTCTCCACATGGCAGCGGCTCACGGTCTCTCCTTAAGGGGTGGCACTTCTTCAAATCTTTGAATAAAGTTCTTTGTACCATATCTACTAACCACCTCTTTAGTTGTTCCTGTTTCAAATAACAGGGACATCTGGTTGATTTGTTGGTCTCGCTTAAGTGTAAATAACCTGCTTTCATTATAGTGAGACAAAGATCATCATCATTATACTCTTTCTCTTGCCATTTATGGTATTCATATAGCGATGACAATGGCAGGCATTGTGGCCATGTCGGTCCTGACATTAAGGTGGGGCCAATGGGATCTTATTTTCTCATCTAATTGCACTTCCTGAGTGTTTCTGACAAATTTGCTTAGAAAAGAGGCTCATGTTAAGATCGTGTGGATGCTGCAACAAATACCTCAGTTTGTAATACGTTGAGGTATTACATGTTGCCATCTGTCAAATTTCATTATTAAAATTTCTGCAATTCCAGCAGTTTCAAGCATAAGTTCTATGCTTCCAGGTGCTGAATTAAGTGCTTCTAGTCAAAGTTTGCGCATGCACTTCAGTCCAACTTTAGTAATTACACTGTATAATACTAATTTCAGAGCATAAAGAAGACTAAAGAAAACTGCTTTAAAAAAAACACTCCGAATGAACGAGATTCATTAATCTTCCTGTTATGTGCACAGCAAGTTCTTCGGGACTTGTGAGGGATGACCTTGGGATAAAAACATTGTGGCCAAAATGATCTGCGAGGGATATCCGCCGGAGTTCTTTTGGAAATGATTGAGGATAAGTGAAATTGGGCATGGGGTATTTTGAGGACATTCATGGCATGTCACTGGGTCTCTACTGTTAATGAATGTAGTCGCCATGATATTTTGTAACTATTAAAGACTATTCATAACTCGTCATAAAGATTGGTCCCACATGGAACCAATGAAGACTGCACTCGTATTTTCTGGCACTAGATATCCACATTGGAACATTGCGTGAACAATATAATATAGTAATTTTTCATTGTATTACCATGTGGTGTATCCACCTTTGAATTATCTTTTTTTTATGTGACTAGAGAAATAAAGGAACCCCTTTGAATTGGAAAAATTGTACCTTTGTATTCGAAAAAAAAAAGCTCTACAAGTTGAGTGAAAGAACTTTTATGGTGGTTTTGTCAGGTTTTTTTTTTATTTCATACAATAGCGAAAGCTTTAATGTCTGTGTAGTGCCTGCGCTGTCCCACAGGCATTGATTCTGCAATTGCAATGTGGTCCTCATAAGCACACGCAATTATTCAGGCAGTCCGGCCACCGGCCACGTAGTCTATAATAAGTGAGAACAAAACCTACATTCTCGAGATGTTGACAGTCAAACTACAGGAATGGGAATGTACAACTTCTGCTTGAATGGAAATCGGCTTTGACATTTACCTAACTGAGTTTAATTAGGAGGAATGGAATTGGGCCAGTGTGTTCTTTGAAAGTGAGTGGGAACCAAATCGCTATTCGCATTCCAATCCAGGCTGGACAGCAGCCTGGATATGGAGTTCTGATAAGCTCCTTACTGTTGCTTTAGCCAGGCCTGATGGTTTGCATAATGAAACGACTCGGTGAATTATCCCCTACACTTCAGCGCAAGATCTGTGTGGCATACGACCTGCGTTATTAGCTCCATTGGCCAGTCAAGAACTGTGGACAATCGGAAAGAAATTGAGTTGAGCAAAAAAAAAAAGGAATTGCCTGCATGTTACCAGTTAGGGTGCATTATTGAGAAAAATGGTGTGCTTGAAAGAAAACATAAGGAAAAGACTTACCATGTGGACGTTTTTTTTTTTTTTTCCATGCCGTTTTTAATGCACTCATGCCAACTTGCCAGACTGTCAGTCCCGCCACTTTATGACTGTCTGGTTTTTCAACATGAGGAACCGCAGTGGAGTTGAATAGAGCTGCTGAAAGCGATTCACCTTGAGGGAGGGGAAGACATAGGCCCAATGTCGCATCTTTTTTTACACTCAAACCTCATTATAACGAAGTTGCATCTCACACAAAATTAAGTTTGTTATATCTATAAGTTTGTTATAAAGGTATATTCTTAACCCTAAGTCTACTGTAAAACTATTCTTCATCTAATTCATTATTACTTATATTTCATTATATCTGGGCTTATTATATCGAGGTATGAGTGCACAGTCGCGGACCGATTTTCCTGAACCTGGTGGGGTCGCGAAATAGTCCGAAAAATTGAACAGTCTGATAAAATGGTCCAGCGGTGAAAAGGAAGTCTATTTAGTCTATCTAAGCCTAAAACGAAATGCCCAATAATGCCACGCTTCTTGCTGTTCTTAGGGACGAGTGAATCTGGTTCTATTTTGGCTACGTGGTAACATCGCTGGCAAGCGCGTTGGCAATTGCTGCCGCTCACCATTGCGGGCAACAAAGTTGGCGGGTCCATGAAACCAAGAAAACAAAACCTGATGCCGGTCGCAAAAGAATGCATGCAACGTCTTGCCTGTTTGGGCGGATTCACACAACACGGTTCGGGCTTCTTCTGCCTGCACCGACATCTCACTGTACGTGAGCCTCCAGCGTTTCGTCACCATCAAAACGCTACCATCGAGGTCGTGGTGGAACCCGCGTGTTCTAGGTCAGTAGCCGAGCACCGTGACCACCTGGAGAGTGCTGCAGAGCAATCGCGAACAGCAGCGAGTGCGTTACGCACACAATGGCTCAAACACACTTGGCGCACCACTAACATGCCCACGTGAGCAATGACTACCAGAAAAACAAACCCCCTCAAAAATAAAAAACAACCTGCCGGCATAATAATGATAATTGTAAGGATGACTGAAAAAGAAAAGTTCCGAAGTTTTGCTAGCCAAGGAAGATCAGGCATTGCCTCCAAAACTGGAAGATTGTACACGCTTTCAAACTAGCCACTGCAAGCCAAATTTAGCCAAGCCAACAAAAAATTCAACATGGCGGCTTTCAAATCGAGCGGCATAGCTCGAAACAAACGACTTAGTCTGGAAAATTGAACTTTCAAACATAAATTCCTCAAAAAAAAAAAAACAGTTGGAATAACACAGTAGTGGAATAGGAACTTTGACTGTGCATTTGTGAAGTCTGAAATACCCAACAGGTCCGAATTTTCAGAGTCCGAAAAATCGATCAGCGACTGTATCATAATAAGAAAGGTCTCGCGAGGGCAGTACTTTTCACCATGGAATTGTGACCACGCTCTGGCTGGCGTCTCGTTGCAGGCTGACATGGGTCGCATCTTCGAGCCGGAGTGCATCTTGCAATGTTACGAGGACGAACACCATGGCAACAGCACCACCAAGATGGAGGAGGAAGAGGAGGAGGAAGACGAAAGAGCAGACAGCGAAGAAGCGGAATGCACAGCCACCGACCTTTCCATTCGTTCGCGCGGCAGCGATGACCGGATGGAGAGCGACTTCAAGACACCGCCGGCCACCGTGGCAACGACACCCCCGGCCGAGGCACCCGAGAACCTCTCGCTGGCAGCCATGAGGGCAGTGGCCAACGCCTCGCGGGAATACACGGTCACCTGGAAGGAGCTCGAACCGCTGTTCCGCTTCTGCAGCCGCTGCGGCGCCCCCGTCGAGAAGACGCGCCACTCACTGCACAGCGTGCTCAGCGTTTCCGCTGTCTGCCAGCGGGGCCATGGGGTATTCTGGACGTCAAGGTCATGATCCGCACTCCGAGCAGCCGGGGTTGTCGCTGCGCCGAGCTTGCGGCGCCGCCCCGTACGATTCGGGAACAAGGAGGCTTCCTGCGGAGGTCGTCTCGCAGAGCACTTTTCGCAGGCCTGGAGACCTTATTCTTTTCGTTCTCTCATTCTTTCTTGCTTTCGCCTTACATTGCTGTGAGCTCAGAGCTCTCGTGTTTCGTACTGCCTGTGAGTACGGTGACTCAGCGGATGTGCAGGGGCGTGCAAAGGTTACGGAACCGAGACGTCGCTTGTGTGCGTGTGAGCACTGCCAAAGGCCCCGCTTGTAAACGGCAGTCTGCCGCCACTTTGTGATCCCTTTCTTCTTGCTTTTCCGTGTGTTTTTGATTTTTAATGAATGCCGTGTGCGGTGGTGTGCTGCTGTTTTAGCTTCAGTTTTCTTTTACACACTTATTCCGACGTATTTTTTAAACATTTTTTTCTCGCTTTCCTTTGCTTTCTCTGCATCTGTTGGGTCACCGTACAGACTGTCCCGCATTGCTCAATGCGAGGACTGGGCCAGTTTGGCCGACCATTGTGTTCAAGGCCGCGTCTTCAAGGCGGGCCCAAGAAGATAGAGCACCATCTATGTGCGGCATTCATGTTTCTTTTTTTTTTTTGGTGGCACCGAGAGCTGGCTCGCCAAGGAGTTCTGGACTCATAATGTGTTTGCCAATACTGTTGTTGTCTAAGGGCTATTTGAATTCAACGATGGGCCCAAGCTTGAGAAAGTTGAAGGTCATTTGGTGCATAGGACCAAGAGTCAAGGCCTTTGACGGACTGAGTCGATTTTAATATAACTTTTTTTATGGTAGGGGACTTTAAGTGGACGTTTAATTTTCTCTGTTCGCGTGGCCCATCTGGATGGGCATTTGTGACTAAGGTCATGTTCAAGGTCGAGGTCGGCCTTTCGTTCGAAGTCAAGGTTGGTGTACGGCTCGTGTGTTGTTGCATGTTAACGAAGAGTGTTCGGAGTTTGTGGGCATCCCATTGTTGTGTTTCTCATGCATCTGTGAAAGTGGGCCCCTGGTGATGAGATACTGCATTGTGCCAATGAGAGGGTTGACGGTTTTGGGGATGTTAATGGCGGTTACTGTTGTCCAAACGGCCATGGACCACGACCTTGGAACTTTTTGCTGATCTTGTGGTTGTGTTCAAATTGTCAAGAAGAAAACTTGTCATCATCTCGGCACTCTGGCTCCGGGTGGGAGTTCGTGCCTCATACTACGTCGTAAAGGTCTGTTCACTGCTCACCGCTGTATTGGGCAACATTTTTTATCTCGCTCGTGACATTTAAACATCACTCTCTCCTACGGGACTGTTCTTTGTGTTGGAACTATGGTGCTGCTGTCTTAGGGCTATTGAATCTAGCTTTCGCAAGCACGGTCTGTCGAAGTTTCCACGCTTGATGCCGTTCGCAAGGGTGAAAGTTGATAGACGTACTCGTGCCTGGCAAGGATTTCTCAGTGAATGGAAGCAACGTGCCGGGTTTGAAAGTAAATGCGAAACCTAGCAACATACAATTGTGTCTTGGACAATAAGTAGGTTGCGAAGGTTGAAAAAGAGACAGAAGGAGCAGGGATGTAGAAATCGCAGCTCTGTAGACATGCACTGTCGCCGTAACATGGGAAGCAACATTTGGAACATTCATGCAACGTTCGGGCAACAGTAGGTACTTCTAGGATTTTAGCCGTATTGATGAAAGTATCGGAAAAGGATTGGAGCATGGCTCTGAGGAGGGCATGTTATTCGTAATCCTAGCATGAAATGCTTGCGAATGGCTGCGAACGGTTTGGAGGGGCATTTAAAGTGGTGGCTCAAGCTTTGTTTGGACAGATAAATGGCCTTATTAAACCAGTGCCTTTTAATTTTGCTTGCGACTAACTTTACCTGCTGAGACCACGTTGCCTTTTGGCTTTTAAGCCACTATCGAAGTGCCAAAAAAAGAATATAGTTGTTGGTAAATGACTGGTTAGTGTTCTTGGCGATAGATGTATCACGAAGGGGTTCTGGAGGCTGTCAGAGGCGTCGGTTCTTGGTGAACGTTCAGCAAACGGCTCTGATCGCAGGCGGCCCGTATTTGTTGACTCTTAAATGTGAACGCACACCCAACGGTTATTGACTGTCGACACTCGCATGTGTGACCAATCTGATAGAAATTTCCAGCAGGAGGCATCCTGATAAGTATGACAAGCTGAAAATCGTGCTCAATTTTTCAACAAGCACTAAGCGGAAAGGTTAGCTATCATGTTCTTCTGCGATTCGTGATTGCTCACTTGAAATTTATGCTCTGTACTTACGCCAGAAAATTACATAAACGTGAAGTGCGCGCCACTAAAATTGGCAGTACCTCCGTTTTTTGCAGAGTACAGTTAAATTGATAGCTCTTTAGTGATGTAAAAATTTTTTCGAGGAATCTACTATTCGTTACGTTTATGAACTTGTGTGGAAAATGACAGACCGTGCTTGTGAATATTACGTGTTACAATGTATCAACGTTTTGAGCAAAGCATGTGCGTGTGGCTTCTCGAGCTGTCTAGTTCTTTCGTTTCACTGTAGTTGCGAGTTGCACGAATATGTGAATGCATAATTTCAAACGGAAGTGACCTCGAAATCATTTTACATTTATTGCACGTCCTTTGAATGTCGCATAGTTTTCAGGCAGAGCATTCCGGACCTATAGTAGGGCTTCGTACAGAGGTGTTTTTTTTTTTTTTTTTTTTGCCAGCTTGTGCCAGCATGTCTATATCGGGCAGCTCAGTGCATGAGTGTCGTGCTTCGGGTAGCTCTTCTTTTACAAAATCATGCCATATTTCTTTTCTTCATTTCATTTAAGACGTTTCAAAGGGACCGACAACTGGCAAGAAATTTGCGATTTAGATCCTGGTGAAAATGAAAAGTTCACAAATTATAGCGACAGATTAAAGCTTGTGTTTTGAAATTTTAGTCAAATCATGTTTTTTAATTACACTTGAAAGTCCTAGAAGACAGCTTGTGCTGCATAGTGAATTCTGTTGATGCTGCGCTGTGGGGTCGCTTCCTTTACTGTACACATTGCGATGATACTGAGTGCTTAATAATTTTAGAGTATGTATATCTTTATACATCCACGCCCTAATGCTGCTGATGAGTTTTTAAAAGGACTTGGTTCTGAGATGTGGTGCTGCCTTCGCAGCCACTAGAAGAACATGTCAAGCCACGGTGCATGTGCGACGTGGAGCATGTCAGCAATCCACAGTGCAGAAATGTGAACCGCGGTAGCACTCACCTCTCATTGTTTGTGGCGTGTGTTGTGTGCACAACTTCATAGGCTCCAGACGGAAAAATGTTGATTTTAGACGTTTCGCGTCATTTTCCGCGTTACGAATACCTAATGAGACATTTACTAGTGAAATGTTCAGTTGTGCTAAAGGAAATGGGCATTGTGAAAGTTGGTTGTCAGTCCCTTTAAACGAAATTACCACTTGCGGGCCTCTTTTCATTTCATCTCAGTCTCTGATGCTTTGTTACCTCAATTCTTATTCCTTGAGGCCCCGCATTGAGGCATTCACATTTTCTTTCCTGCTCACAACAGCACTCAAGTTATTGATGTCGGGAGTTGCGCTGCATTGGCAAAAGTGGACTCCCTCGTTTGCTGCAGTTGTCTGTCTACATTACGGGTTTTTTTTTATTGTTCGCAATTTACGCGAAATTTTATTTGGCGCACAGACATGTATCATTATGGCTTGTAAAAAAACGTCTGTGCATGTAATGCAACTGCAAGCGTGACAGGCCATGTCTTCCAGATTTGCATCATTAACAGTGCACTCATTAAAGGGACCCTGAAACGGTTTTTCAAAGTTCTGTCAGCGTTCAGGCTAGAGCATCGTCATACCACTCACACCAGAAATTTAGTGACACGCTGTGTACCAAGGCCGCTGTATACTATTATAACGTTATCTTCTCCCCTCCTCCTGGCCTCCTCAACCCATGAGGCACACTGGCATCGCTGGTGATGGCAAAGCTCTGATGGGCGTGCTCGATGATTTGAGCTTTTACCAGTCTAGACCTCTGAAATCGCGCGCTGACAGGTCGCGAGCAGTCTCAGAGGTCATCACACAGTGTGCCTGGTAGCGCGCACGCTGTCTGGCAACAGAGACGAAGATTGTGGAGTAGTTCATATCTGCTCTGACAGGTGCTGCCACCCTACCAGCGGATCTTCCGCAAATTCTATAGCCCATGACGGCCTATCAGATCAGCATTAGACTGCATTTCCGATAGGAGGCGGAAATGTTGTAGGCCCGCGTGCTCAGATTTGGGTGCACGTTAAAGAACACCAGGTGGTCGAAATTTCCGGAGCCCTCTACTACTGGTGTCTCTCATAATCATATGGTGGTTTTGGGAAGGTAAACACCACAATATCAATCATCATCATCAGCCTAGATGTGGCGGCTGACGTGCTCTAGCCCAGAGCGTATCGCTCTGTTAATGGGCAATTGAAATTGCTTTTGGCTGAGTCGCAATGATCTGCACCGATCTGCAGCTATTCACAACTTTAAATGGTTTTAGTAAATTACACAGTTTACTCAGAGAGCTCCCATCGGTCTCTAAGTAACCCTCGGGACTCGGTCTACCGGCCCAATAGGTTTGTACAATATTGCCGAAACCATTTCAGGGTTCCTTTAATGCGGCTTAAAGTTTTGAATGGGTATCGAATAAAATTTGCTTCTGGCCTCATATTCATTTTGAGAATTAGCTTTCAGAAATTTTTGAACATTTGCCTAGAAATTATAGAATACGCCTGTCTTCAATTCTACATTAGAAGACTCATATTTTGTAATATTTGTACGTAGATTTGTTCATAGGACTTTTATAGTTCCTTCCACCTCTCTTGGCACTGGTGTATTTGTTAACTGGAAGACTGGTCACTCACAAAGGGAAAACGTGTAACGGGGCAGGGAGCTTCTGTAGTGTGAAATTTGTGCTACTCAAATGACTTATATTTATGACTTGTTATTTGCATTATTGTTTTTATCACTAACGAACATGGTGACTCGGTGAATCTTGTTGAGGTTTTTTTTTTTTTTTTTCGGTGTTCAATGAGCTAAATGGAACAG